CCAATCTTGCAATCAACAGAGTCAGTGTCTTAACCACTTGAGCAACTGGATCCCTATAGAACTGCATCCCTATAGAACTATACTATCTATTGGGATAGTAGTTCTATCCCAATAGAACTACTGTACTATTGCCAATACCCTCTTATGGGAGAGGGTGCTAAAGCATATGGTGGCTGGGAAAATTCAGTGTTCTTTGAGGAAACAGATTATTTGGGCCCATTCTAGTTTGGTTTCCGGCAAGGGCAAAGCAATGAAATAGCATTAGTCACTCTGACTGACAACCTGTTCCTAGGGAAAGACATGAGGATGGCTACCTTTTGATCTTCCGGGAATTCCGGGAATGGATTTTGATACCATTGATCACTGTATCTTACTGGATTAGGTTTGTTAGATGGGAACAGGGGTGTCACTAAGGGGTACAGGAAATGTGGACCACAGCAGGTGACACCCTACAGGTGTGACACCACTGCTACCCAAGCATCTGCTTTTGGGCATAAATGGATGGTGTGGTGTTCGCCTTGGTGGGAGAAATGGTGTCAGTTGGGTGAGACTCAATGGGAGGAGAAAAAAGAGGCCTTGGTTTTTTGGAAAAAATACTTATTTTAATTCTTTTAAAAAATTAAAAAGATCACATCTTACCAAATTTTCACATGGAATTATGTATGAGGTATCTTAAAGTTTTAATTATCACCTTTAAAAAATTGACAGAAAGTTTGTTTTGATTTGTAGTCGTTAACTTATCTCTACATAGTCACTATCCATATCTACACATTTTCCCCAGCATTTCTTGACCCTCTGAAGACCATTATTGTAGAAGTCTGCAGATTACACCTTAAATCACTCTTCCACTTCATGAATGGCTTCATCTGTGTTGTCAAATCAGCAACCCTGATTTGGGAAAAGAAAAAAGTAACTTGGTGATGATGACACTGACAAAATGTCATCAATATACCATAATAACCTCTGAGTGATAATTATTACTTTACAGTACCCCCTCATACTTCTCCATCTTACACTTTAGTCACTTCTGGCACAACCTGTAACAAAAATAAAAGACACCATGAGCTGGTTTTCTCAATATCATGCATTTAGGGACCAATGATGACACTGACAAAATTTCATCAATATACCATAATAACTTCTAGGTTATAATTATTACTTTATAATACCCCCTCGTATATTTAGGCTGTGCATATGATATTATAATATTATATTTTAATTTTGCTAGTTGCTTATGTCACAACTATTGTCATTACATTAAGGGGTGGGAGGGTTTGGGGATTTTGTATGTATTTTATCTTGGTTTTAATACTGTAAGCTGCCCCGACTGCATCACAGAGGGGCGGGATAAAAATAATTTATTATTATTATTATTATTATTATTATTATTATTATTATTAACAGGCAATATATGGGAATGACGATTTATGAGTAATTGTACAAAAACATCACTAAGAATTCTGTATTGTGTGGTGTGGTATGGAAGGAGGTCAATGGGGGGGTGGGGTGACACCATGAATTATGGCACCGGTTGATGCCAACCCTAGTGACACTACTGGATGGGAGCAGGAGGCAATGTGTTACTTCTATCTGTCAGGTTGGTCCCAGAAAGTAGCCTTGGGGGAATTCTTTTTCAGCCCATGGCCATTAACCGGTGGGCCTGACATCTTGTTCTCCTATGCTGCTCAATATCAATATGAAGCTGCTGGGGAAGTTCAAAAGGGGGCTTGGGATGGGGTGCCATCAGTCTGGTTATGACACTCAGCTCTAATTCTCAGAGTCAGCTGAGGATGTGCAGGTGCTGGACCAGTGTCTATATGCTGCAATGGGCTGGATGAGGGCTAGTAAGCTGAAGCTGAATCTCAGTATGATAGCAATAGCAATAGCAAGTACATTTCTATACCATTTATCAGTGCACTTAAGCACTCCCTAAGCGATTTACAATGTATAAGCTAAGCTGGGTACTCATTTTAGCAACCTCAAAAGGATGCAAGGCTGAGTCGACCATGAGCCCCTGGCTCGTATTGAACTCTCAACTTTGTGGTTTGTGAGTGAGTGGCTGCAGTACAGGCATTTAATACTGCACCACCAGGGTTTCACCAAGATGGAAACTCTGTGTATTAGTGGTTCTGAAGTCCAGGAATTGGGTAAGCTACTTGCCCTGGATGGGATTGTACTTCCTTTAGGAAGCAGATGCATAACTTAGGAGTATTCTCAGAAATTTGTAACTAGAAAGCCAAGCAACCTCTGTGGTTAGGAGTGCTTGTGACCAACTTTGTCTGATCTGCCAGTTATGGCCTTTCCTGGACAGGGATAACTTATCCACACTAGTCCATGCACTGGTAACTTCCCAATTAGACTTCTGAAATGCATTCTACATGAGGCTGCCCTTGAAGACAACTTAGAAGCTGCAGCTAGTGGAAAATGCCGCTACTAGACTGCTAACTCAAACATCATACAAAAATCATATAGCACCAGTTTTAAAGGAATTGCACTGCCTGCCAATACGCTTCTGGGCTGAATTCAGAGTACTGGTAATGACATTAAAAGCACTAAAAGGTTTGGGACCTTAATACTTGAAAGATCATCTCTCTGTATGTACACTTGCCCAATGCTTAAAGGTGGGGGCCTTCTCCTGTGTCTCATAAGTCAGGACACTATACTGTGGGAGGATATAGAAGAGGATCATTTACGCTATGCCACCTCACTTATGGAACACTGGAGGCCCAACTGAAACCAATGTTGCTGTCATTGAGGCACCAAATGAAAAAATGGTTGTTCACTGAAGCTTTTGGAGCCTAACTGATTTTACATAACCCCTCAGGGGTAGATAATTTTTAATCATTTAAAACTATTTTAATTGGTTTTAATCTGTTTTTTAAAACTTTAAAACTTTAAAATTTCTAGCCATTTAAAATCATTTTTAGTATTTACATTGTTTAAATGTGTCAGATCAGTTTTATCCTCTCTAGACAGAGGTAAGATAGAAATATTTAAATAATAGTATAAAATAAAATAAAATAAAATAGCCATTGCTTCATATCTGGAACATGGTTGTTCATTGGCCTGGTGCCATACACTGTGTGTCTAGCTTTCTCCTATCCCAAACTGGAGTCAAAACCATGTCAGTTTCTCCTGCTTCTGATGCCATGGCATGGTTTCAGTAAGTCCAAAAAACAGTGGTGTCATTAGTGTTCATGTCACCCCCGTGCAGTAACCAGGAGTTTGACCTGCGTATAACAGTTCCAGATCCATAGAACTCCAGAGGCAATTTCCAAATTCATACTGCCATCCTCAAACAGCCTGGAATCCACCCCAGCTCCTCTCTACCAGTCAGGCTGCCTCTGCTATGGTGGGATCAATTGCTTCTGCTCCCTGGCAGCTATTTATGGGTCTGGTAGAGCTGCTGGGTGATCAGGAAAGGGAAGCGGCTGACTTTTCCATCCAGCCAGCAGACTCACCAGACCTGAAAGGCAGTCCCTTCCCACTAACAGCCATTAGTGGAGGTGGACTGCTGCTTCTGTCACCCAGAACCCTTTGCTGGGTCTGGCAGAGCTGCCAGGTGAGCAGGAAAGGAAGGTGACTCACTTTCCCAGCAGGCCCACCATACCCAGAAGGCAGCCCCTTCATAATAGTGGCCACTGGTCAGGATGGGGTGCTGTTGCCAATCAGCAGACATTTTCCCACTTAGCCAGCAGATCTGCCAAACCCAGAAAGAACTGCTGGGCAGCAACAGCAACCCATGTCAACTAGTGGCTACAGTCAATGGATGTCAGAGGCACTCTGGCTAGTGGGAGGGGGCAACCAGGGTGGTCATGGGACAGAGGGGAGCAATCACCCCACTGGGTGTTCACCCCCCTCTGAGGTGTTGCCCAGTGCTATCCGCACTGCCACAATCCCCTAGTGACACCCCTCACAAAAACTATGGATGATGAAACCTACCTGGAATAAAAAGAATAAATGCATTCATCATTTGTGAGTTTGACTCAACTACTTTCAGTTTCCCATAGGGGCTTCTGAATTTTCTCTTTCCTTAGCACAAGACGATGTAAGGAAGCATCTTCCAGTGTTGGAAGTACTATCACAACACTCTTGGCTGCTATGCTGTTCCAGCTCTCGACGCTTTCCTGAAATGGCTAGCAAAGCTCTAATGCAGACCATTGTGGAAAACCCCCAAGCCAATTCTTTCCCCCATACCATTTCATTTCTCTTTGAAGGGAATTATGATTCATCACTGAGACTAAGAGGAGCCACACATGTGGAAGATGCATAAGGTCACCTACAGTAATGGATTATGTTGGATTTTCTGGGAGCAATA